GGTAGATGGTATTTTGTATTATCTTTCCGCGCTTCCTCTGTGCACACCTGAGTATCGAGGATTATAGGTTGTTGTTGTTTCGTCGGTTGTGAATTGAATCAAAATAGAACAAACAAGTGGCTCAACATACTCAAGAAATAGATATAAGTACAAAGTGATAAGAGGAATTAGGCCTGCTAATTATCGAGCAGCAAAATGGGCTGTGCAGAGAGCAAGGACGGCGAGGGGGAGGCGCAAAACAATAGGCCCAAATACCGGTCCTGTACGGACACCTGCTGGCTGGCCATATACATTATATTCTGGCTGTTTTTGGTAAGAAATGGAATATATTTCGATCTATACAGAGATATAGTAGTAGTCTGTATCGGGAAAGTGAAAGCCCAGACATTCATCTGCGCAACGCGTCTCTCTGCTTCGCTGCGTGTGTGAGCGGTTTTTGCGGGAGGAAAGCGGCTACTTGTTACTTGAAAATGTCTCACTCATGTCGTCATCGCTGGATAGCTTATGTGCGGAATTGTTAATTCCTCTAATGAATGCGATGATTTAACAGTCAGGGTTAGTCCGACATATAAGCCCACATATAAATCCCTCGTGAAGCGAATCGATAGCCGCTTTGCTTACTTTGCTTTTCTGCTGTCCTACAGGACACGCCACTCCTCGAAAGCATTTCCATGTCAAGTATTTGCATGGGAATGTCGTCCACCAGAGCGATTATAATAATAATGCCCCTTGACATGACATGCTGGTCATGGGGCGTTGGCTGCCTGAACAATGATCTATCCACTTTAATTTGCCTACTTTTCGTTTTACAGATAGTGATAGCCATCTTTTCGTTCGTATATGGAAATCCCTTGCGCATCATCAATGGCTACGACTCCTTTGGCAACACCTGTGGAGTTAAATACAATGAAAAGTTTCAAAGCTTCCCGCTGTCCGGCATGAATACGCTCGACAAGCCGGAACTCTTCTATTTCGATGTCAAGGAGCTGAAGAAGTCCCTCAAGATATGCGTCAAGTCATGTCCCGCCAAAACCATGACCAAGGGCAGCGAGCTGCTGGAATACTACAGCCAAACGGGCACTCAGCTCTGCAAATATGACTACAACATGCAGCAGCTGAGTACGGCGGGCAACGATGCCAAAACGTTCAATTTCCTAGGTCCATGTCCCAGTTTACCCATTCATGAGAGGTGTGTTTGGATTACATCACCCAAATCAAATGCTAATTTAATTCACACATTAATCACTTCTTTCTAGTTCGCCTGTCCTACATCGCTGTGTGCCCAAGGGTACGGGAGAGAAGGTTCAGAACTACTACGACATGCTCAATAACTGGGATGTGGCCCAGCAGTTCGTTGGCGACATCTACTCCACCTGGCACATCATTGCCATGGTCTGTGGATTAGCTTTGCGTAAGAGATTCCTCATTCTTCACGAAAGTATTGTCTAAAACGCCTTTTTCTCTAGTCATTTCAATTGCTCTGGTGACCATGATGCACTGGCTGTCTCGCATCGTCTCCTGGATCATCTGTGTCCTAGTCATAGTGGCGAGTGTGGGGCTTACTGTTGCTCTTTGGTATGCTTACTATAACATACGCAATAAGTCTGGCGTGAACACACAATACTCTATGCTGGAGGAGTTTGTGCGTAATCAACAGGCGGTCCTCACCCTGGCTGTCCTGGCCACCATAACTATGGTGTGTTAACTCATTCAATACTTAATTCCCAGTTACTTAGTCTGTTTCGTTCACAGATAATCCTTATCGTGGTCATATACTTCTTGAAGAACAAATTGGCTGGCTTGTCGGCCCTTTTCGAGGAAGCTGGTCAGTGCATGATGAATCTGCCAGGACTTTTGATCGCTCCGCTCTTAGCCTTCCTTGCGCTCATAGTCTTCTTAAGCTTTTGGGTGGCAGTGATCATTTGCCTGGCCACAGCCAGTTCACCTGGAGAAAGTCCCATTGCTCCGTTCGACAACTCGAAAGCACATCAGCAGGCATTGCCAGCAAATGCGTTGTTCGTGCCCAATAACACCAGCACCAATGATTTAAGACGTAAGTAGTCTCATATATACGCGATGTAAATCCATTGTATGCAGGTTTCCTAAAGCAGCTGAATTCGAAATAATCTGAATTGTATATTTTTGCATTTTGTGGTTAATATATTACGTGATTTGGCGAATAAGTAAGTGATATTTGTTAGAGGCACAGAAGTTTACTCTAGTGTACATATTTCTGTGTTTTCTCCTCACGACTGTTCGATCTAAATTGTATATACAAAAATAAACAACCTTTTCTTATGTTACTGCACTTATGTTTCCAAAGAATTAATCAAAAAAATTTCCTAAACAGCCAATTCCCGTGTAGAATATGCCGATGCTGGAGCCCTTCGTAGCATGTTCTGGATCTATGTGGTGGGTCTTATATGGACGGTGGAGTTTATTTTCGCATGCCAGCAGTTTGCTTTGGCCGCTGCCGTGGCCTTCTGGTACTTCCAAAAACCGACCAGCACACCCACGATTTACGCCATTGGCAAACTGGTTAAGTATCATCTGGGTACGGTGGCCAAGGGATCCTTTGTCATCACTATTTTCAAGATTCCCCGCCTGATACTCACCTATTTGTATGCCAAGTAAGTTGAATCGTCACTTTGCAAGCGTTTCCCATTCTTTACTAATTGAACATGACATTTCAGATTGAAGAAGGGCGAGGACAAGGGATCGGAGTGTGCCGCCTGCTGCTTGAAGTGCTGCATATGTGGTTTCTGGCTACTAGAGAAGTTCATTCGCTTCTTGAATCACAATGCATACACCGTTGTGGCTATCGAATCCATTAACTTCTGTCCTGCTGCTGGCATTGTAAGTTTGCTATCACACAAATGTTTCAAATTAAAAATGCATATTTCTTTTTAGGCTTGGAATGCCATGGCCACGAATGTTTTGCAAGTGGCCACCATTAACAGTGTGGGCGACTTCATTCTCTTCCTGGGAAAGGTTGTGGTGGCCGCCCTCTCTGGCCTCATTGGTATCGTTTTGCTCAAGGACATGCCCGGTCTGAATTTCTACATGGCCCCCGTCATAATCATCATCATATTCTCCTTCTTTATTGCTCACATTATCCTATCGCTATTTGAGGTGGGTATTCCCTTACAACCTGTTTAATCTTGAGGCTAACCAATGGCTCTTTAATAGATGGTAGTGGACACCTTATTCCTCTGCGTCTGCGAGGATAAGACCCTGAATGGTCGCTCTGGTCGATGGGCGCAGAGCAACTTGGCCAAGCTAGTAGGCGAGGAACCGCTGCAGCCTGGCGAGGAGCCGCCCATCGAAGTTGTTCAAATGATGCCCATCAACAAGCAGCCATTTAGTATTACCCGACTCCCACAGTCCGACTCCGAAGTAGCTCCCATGTCGGCGGAGTAACTCTAGGATGCAGCTAGGTGTTTTCGCTTTTGTATTCCATACGCAAAACCTCCCGAAACTCAACGCACATCTCATTAGGATGTTAATATTTATATACATACCATTACTCCGTCGCGACGTACAAAGCAGAACAGTGGGACAAATAATAACTGGTAATCTTGTCTATTGATATATTCAAACTTAGGATGCACAGTTTGTAAACGTATTTATAAAGTTTAATCGTTTTTGTATCTAAATGTAAAATGAGGTGTTTAAACCTTTTTCACGCGTTTAATGGTTCTTGCTTTCTTTCTTTCAATCACATCTTTTACGGCCTGCAGTTGTTTTTCCTTGATCTTCTTGGTTAGCGCCGATTTGGGTGTCTGTTTGGCGGCTTCCTCCTTCTTCTTTTTGGCTATCGCAGCCAGAATTTTGGCCGTCTCCACGGGATCATCGTCTTCAAACAGCTCTTCGTTATCCACGCCATCGTAAGCTCTGACCGGTCGCGTTGCCTCGTGTTTGACCTTTTGCTCCACTCGGTTCACGTACTTGTCCTTGGCGGCCTTCTTGAGTACCTGTCGCTGTTTGGATGGACTCACGTAGTCTGGATTCTCCCAGATGGTTTTGCCAGTAAAGGAACCATCGAATATTTTCACAGGATTCATCACGTAACGCGGTCCAACTTCGGACAAACCGCCGTCCTCGGATAGAATCTGGAAATTTCTGAACCAGATGCGTTTGTCCAGGTAGGTGAAGGTAAAAACGTGATCCACGAAGGGCTGGCTCTTGGGATGATGGTTGGGCACGGAGTATGTCTGCACGAACAGCTCCTTCAACAGCTTAAGATGCGGCAGCTCGTCGAATTTGGAGTCAAACGAGAGTAGCGGGCGCGATCCCCGCAAGCAGTTGCCCGTCATCTTCAGTTCGGCCATTGTGTGAATGTTTTCGATGAGGAATTTAGCAGATGGACCAGTGGATCCCGACGTGTTGGATATCCACATGTACAGATCCCTTTTGCGGCGTCCTTCAAACAGCATGGCCTTATTGCAGTGCTTCATTTCGCACATTTCGTTGACCACCGACAAGGTTTTGGAGCGCTCCATTTTGGATTCGGGTCGATGGTGCGGCATCAGGGTCTTAATATCCTTCATTAGGTGCCGGTCCCGGTGGCTAATACCGCGGGCGGAGAAGACCAGCACGCGTTGTTTGTTCACCCACTTTTCCTGTAAGTAAAATGCAATTTATTGTTAGGATATTCTACGTTCCCAGGAAATGGGACTTCTTACCTTTTTGGGCACCACATCATCTGAGGATCGTTGTGGTGGCAGTGGTGGATTTTCATCCAGCGGTACTATCTCCAGCTGCGGCGCAACCTTCTTTTTCTTATTCTGGAACTTGCGGCCCATTTTTTTAGTTGAAATAATTAAAAACAATGGAAAAGAAGTGCGTAGGTAAAACGTGGAGTGACAACAACCAGGGATGGATATCTATTTAAAACCAGGGCGTCGACAGCACGTGCAACTAAGTTGTGACATTTTCCAACACTGTATGGAAATATTTAATTCAAATAAAAAACCGGAAAAATAAAATTAAACATTTTGTAAACGGTTCTTTTTCTTTTTTTCTAAGCCAAATCAACTAGTTAAATTAAAATCTAGAAATTAAATTGGAACTACAATTCGCATTAAGTATAGCACCCTATTTTTAGCTTCTAGCTGGCATTAGACTAATATGGTTCAATCCTCTTCATCTTCAACTCCTGGTTCAGGACACAGTCGGCATCTGCTTTCGTTGACGCCGTAATTCATGCACTGTTCTCCCACGCACTCGCAACATCCATCATGAAACCACCTGTAGCTGGTGGCTCCGGTTTTCAGGCAGGTCTGTCTACACTTATTCCAGGATGTACACTGATCCAGATACAAAACAGTGCAGTTTAGTCCGGAACCTGATAGTCCAACCGTTGCAAACGAGACCACGGTCCAATTGTAGGTGTATCCATCGTTTGGAGATGAGGACATGGCCCTGAACAGGGCTGGCATTCCTTCGAATTCCTCGGTGTGTGATTTTTTACGCATTTCTGCCATGTTTGCCAGGCCTAACTGTCCAAAGGATAGCAAAATGTAGATAGTCACGAGTGATTTCATATTGAATTGGAAAATGCAACTGAAGTGTTGAGCGCGTTTACAGATGGCTTTTAAATGAGTTTTTAGTTCAGGTAGGTATCGTTTCAGGTAGAAAGTCACTTACCAGCTGACGATAAAGGGCGTTAACAATTTTATAACTATTACCTAAATGGTGTTGCTCGTTTTCCTTTTCTGGGCTTAATAACTTAATCCCTAATCGCTGCGAACAGCTGAAATATGTACATATAAAACTATTTTATGGGTAATAATTAAGGAACCAGTTTCTTCAACGGAACCAGTGCACGGCTCCCTGGAAATTGGTTTGTCATATATCGATCACTTCACATCTCTATATTGTATGTATACGCCATCAAAGCGGCACAAGCGAAAAAAGTGCGAATAATTTGAGCGGAGGGAAAACATAGATAAACCAGAACCATGTCGGACTACAGATCTCAATCGCGGAGTGGCGGGGGACGTGGCGGCCAGGAGTACTCCAACGATGACGATCCGCCGATGTCGCGGCTTTTCATCATTTGCAACAAGGCGCACACGGAGGAGGATTTCCGTGAAGCCTTCTCGCCATACGGCGAAATCGAGGATATTTGGGTGGTGAAGGACAAGCACACGCAGGAGAACAAGGGAATCGCCTACGTCAAGTTCTCCAAGACGTCCGATGCCGCCAAGGCGCAGGAGGAGATGAACGGCAAGACCATTGGCAAGATGGATCGCACCCTCAAAGTGCTGGTGGCAGCCAAGTGAGATTAGCTTCGAGTACTGGTACCCAAAGACATGTCCTAACCCTTACCTCCTTACACCAGTCGCAATCAGGGCTCAAATAAGTCTGAGAACGAGCAGGAGAAGTACGTGAGGCTCTTCATAGTAATCCCCAAAACAGCCACCGAGGAGGATATTCGAGAGGAATTCTCCCAGTGGGGCGATGTGGAATCGGTCACAATTGTCAAGGAGAAGAACAATGGCAATCCCAAGGGCTTTGGATATGTCCGCTTCACCAAGTGCGTGGCAAATCAGCGTCGCTAATTGTACAAGCCCTTGCTAATGTAATCTCTATTTACAGGTTCTACTATGCAGCGGTGGCTTTCGAGAACTGCTCCGCCAAGTATAAAGCAGTTTTTGCCGAGCCAAAGGGTTCCACACGCACACAGAGGGACCAGTACGGTCGTCCCTCCGAGGACAATCCCTTGTATAGCAGCTCGGGACGTGGCAACTCCAATTTTAATGGAGGCGGTAGCAGCAGCGGTGGCGGCGGCAGCAGCAGCTACAACAACGACTGGAATGTGTCGCAGAACAACGACATGGCGGCCTTCCTGCGCATGCAGAATGTCCCAGTGGCCCAGCCCTCCTGCCTGGAAGTCAACGTGAGCAACTGCGTCAACCAGGATCAGCTCTGGCGACTCTTCGACATCATTCCCGGCTTGGATTACTGCCAAATCATGCGGGAACGTAAGTAACCAGTCTAGTCAAGGTTCCAATCACCCTTAAAACTACTTATAATACCCTTTGCAGATGGACCGCGCACCAATGAGGCCTTAGTGGTGTATGACAACCCAGAAGCAGCTATTTATGCCAAGTAAACATAGCTCTAAAACTCTTTTTTATACAGGCCCTAACACTTTTTTTCTTTAGGGACAAACTCCATGGCTTGGAGTACCCAATGGGCGAACGCATTATTGTCAAAGTCAATGGAATGAGCTCAGCTCGAATGGACACATCCTTTATAGACAGTACGCGAGTTAAATCTATCAAGGGTTACAGGCCTCGCCATCACCTGTAACCATTTATTAAACAATCTTGTTTGATTTATTTTTTAACACCTTGGCTTTAAATGCATGCTATTCCCTATGCCTAGATTTAATGTGGTCTTTTATTTTAGAGCGCACCAAAAAGGATGCCATCTGCAATGTGCCTTTGCCCCCAACGCAACCACTGGCATCGCCGGACGACCAGGTGGCCCAACGACTATTTATTGTGCTCTCAGCGGTAGGTACCACTGTACCATGTCCAATTTGCATTAGTTATAAACGTTGTTTCTTATCAACTCAGAACTTGCCGCATTCGATATTGAAAAACATATTCTCTTGCTGGTCGGGACTGATTGACGTCTACCTGCTGCCGAACAAGAACTGTGGCTACGTCAAGTATGCGGAGGCCGAGAGTGCTCAAATGGCCATTCGCACTCTGAATGGCGCCGAAATATGCGGCACCAAAATCAAGGTTTGTACCTTGTACTCGTGTTCTGCTATTGACAAGCGCTACGTGTGTTTTAATCAATTTGTATCTTACTTCAGGTCATGGAGGCTGAGGAGCGCAGTGGATCCGATGGCGATGATGGCGGTCGCAAGCGTTTAAGGCGGAATTGAGTGTAAGTAGCTAGTTGAGAATGCATAAATCCCATATCTATTAATGTAGCCATAGTTGGACTGAGTGTGTGCCGTGGTCCGAGGTAAGTAGCTGTGCAAATTCCAAACCGAAACCTTTTAACGATTTAAGTTACGCATTCGCCTAACGCTCGTGTGCTGAGAGCTTTTGCTGGGGCCAACCTCTTGCTGCACTTGCCATGTGTACCGGTTGGCCATCGATATCCACGATACCCATGCCGCCCACTGAGCGCGAACATAATAAGCCAAACCATTTTTATCTTTTTATCTCCACAGACCCACTGACAACCAAGAACTTACAGAGAACGCAATGTACGAGTACGTAACTAACTTGAGCATACAGTCCGATAAAAACAGTTGAACTGACCACCAACCACGCAACAACGCAACAACCAACCAATAACCAAACAAGAACCACCACCACAACAACACTCTCTTAACGGAATGCCACAAGAACCACGAGGACTGGAGAACGCAGACCGGAAACGGCGAACGCAGACCGGAGACCGGAGACCGTACCCGGGTGAACAAACCAAACAAGCCAACGAAATCACCACACCCGTTGACTACTATTGACTAACTCAAGAACTCAAGTGGGCCTCGTACAGAGCACTCCTAGAAAGACCCATACGACCTTTAAACGGAGCCAACGAAACTGCAATGCTTGCTATATACACTATACATATATATAGTGTCGTATACATATACTATCTGTAAACATACCGCTTAGGGGACTTTTGAATCAACCCGTGATACAGAAACGAACTCTGTGTAACTTGAACTATTACTAACGTATTCCGACGAGATTCAGCCAAGCAATAAATTCAAACGCAATGAATTTCTCAAGAGTGTCAACTCTGTCTCGTAAACCCACGATAATGCCGTTCGTGAAAATAAGTCTTTTCATATATTAGATTTTAAAAAAATGATATTTTACTGTATAAGCCCAATAAATACAACTAAATGGATACAAAAAATTGTTTTCCTTGTAAACGGATTTAAAACGAATGCATCTGAATCAAAAAAACGTTTTCTATTGAAGAACCTTTAAAAAGTCTACTCATTTAATGTTCGTTATATAGGTATTGTATTTATATATAGTTAAAATTGTTTAAAAAACCAACGGACACCTTGAAAGTGTTTATAATGAACCAGTTCCGAAACGGTTTCGGTGTTCGACTTTAGTTTCACAGCCCTGGTAAGTTCCGGTTCCACAAACAGCTGCGCTGGATTTTGTTTAGATTTTGTATATTGTTGATTTCACCCAGTAAAAAGCTATTTTTCGTAGATTTAAATAATAAGAAACACATTCGAAATGGATCCAGCACTGCTTCGCGAACGCGAGGCCTTCAAAAAGAGGGCGATGGCCACGCCCACGTGAGTACCGCCTTGTGGCCCTTCTGATAAAGATTTCTCCTTGAAGATTATATGCTATCCTTTCAAAATAGCGTGGAAAAGAAGTCCAAGCCCGATAGACCAGCTCCACCACCGTCCAGTGATGATTCCAAGCGCAAAATGCGTCCGCCCACGGCTCCCAAGCTGGATGCCACAACGTAAGTTCCTTGAAAGCCTTTGCAACGGCCAGACATGGGTCTTAACCACGTGAAACTCTTGCATTCCATACTTAGATACAAGACCATGTCCGGCAGTTCCCAGTACCGCTTTGGAGTGCTGGCCAAGATTGTGAAATTCATGCGCACACGTCACCAGGACGGCGACGACCATCCACTGACCATCGACGAGATTCTGGACGAGACCAACCAGCTAGACATTGGGCAATCCGTGAAAAATGTTAGCTTCAATGCATCAGCGCATAATATTTGGAAGGTTATTAAATCAATATTCCTCTAATTTAGTGGCTTGCTAGCGAGGCTCTGCACAACAATCCCAAAGTGGAAGCCAGTCCCTGTGGCACCAAGTTCAGTTTCAAGCCAGTCTACAAGATCAAGGATGGCAAAACGCTGATGCGGCTGCTTAAACAACATGACTTGAAGGGTCTGGGGGGTATTTTGCTCGACGATGTCCAGGAATCTCTACCACACTGCGAAAAGGTGCTGAAAAACAGAGCAGCGGAAATACTTTTCATTATTAGACCCATTGACAAAAAGAAGATTTTATTCTACAACGACAGGACAGCTAACTTTTCGGTGGGTTTTGAAAATAAACTATTAAAATCCAAACTAATCAATTATGTTAATTATCTTCAGGTGGACGAAGAGTTCCAGAAGCTATGGCGCTCGGCTACGGTCGATGCCATGGACGACGCCAAGATCGACGAGTACCTCGAGAAACAGGGCATTCGCTCCATGCAGGACCATGGCCTCAAGAAACCCGTTCCTAAGCGCAAGAAGGCGGCCAACAAGAAGCGGCAGTTCAAGAAGCCCAGAGACAACGAGCATTTGGCCGATGTTCTGGAAGTCTACGAGGATAACACACTAACGCTGAAGGGTGTAAACCCAACGTAGAATAAATACATTAGATTATACAAATAAAAACCACTCTCAATGGAATTAAGTACACTCGAAGCTGCAAGTTATATATTTGTTTGCCCACTGGCAATCTAATTGAGAATCCGCAGGGTCGAAAAATCATTGCTCAAGATTTATAGTAATAGATTGGTGTTCTGCCTGTGGCTTCGAATTTAAAAATATGACGCCCGGCAGAGGGAAAGATAATTAAAAAGCAAAACTATGTAATCTTTTCCTGACATTCCCCATTGGTTTCCACACCTGGCCCAGAATCGACGCTAGTTGGCAGATAAATTGGCAACAGGGGGAAGCCGTAGCTTTAGTCTGCACTGAACAGCAGCCAAGTTCAGTTGGCATCGATTTGGAATAACCTATATTTTGGTACGGTACGGCGCTGCCCAGCTTGTTAACCATTCTTTTTGTGTTCGGGTTGATAACAAAAATAATCTATCTATTGCACTCCAAAAATCTAGATAATAATAGAGTGCTGTTATACTCATTTTGTAATCTATTAGATTATCAATAACCAAAATTAACTACATTTAGCAAATATTGCTCATACGACACGCGTACAAATGGCTATTTTACAAATAATCGTTCTTCCTCACACTTGTTTTACACAAGAGTTAGGGTATTCAAAAGTGTGCTCGCAGGAAATCCGGTTCTTTGTTTACTTGGCTTGACTCTTTGGCACGGACAATGAGCTCTCGCTCGGTGGCAAAAACTTGTTTTGAAATACTCAATTTGTTTAATTGTAATTCCTCAAGCATTCGCCAGTTGGCTTTGAGAGTTTCTGTGCTGAGGTGGACGAAATGAAGTGGACGCGGACTGCACTTGGAGTGGCCCTGCTCCTGGCCCTGGTGTCTCAAATGACGGCCCACAGCTCGGAGTAAGTGATTAAACTTCGTATGTTATTAATGTACATATGCAGATCAGTCACTGACTTTCTCTTTGACTTGATTTCCCCCCATCAAGTGACTTGGTGTACGGTTACGAGTGCCGCAGTGGCTTCTGCCAGAAGGTGGAGCTAAGCGAGGAGAACTACGCCAAGGCCATCAGTCTACCCGTGTGCCGGCTCTTCTGCGGCAGCTCCATCGGGACCCTGTGGCCCAAGCCAACGGGTACTGTGCGTCTGGACACGTTGATGCGCCAAGTGGACATCTCCTTCATCGACTTCAATGTCAATGGAACTGTCCGGCAGCAGAAGCTATGGCGATCTGTTGAAAACCGCTTCATGGACATGCTGGACGCCCAGATCCCTGATCGCAAGATTCTTGCACGAGGTGGCTACCGTATGTCTGTGAACATCAATACTCCGGAAGAGCCGACTCCGGCCAGACTCACTCTGGAAACGGATGAGAGCTATATCCTGGACATTGAGACGGATGCTTCGGGTCATGTGCTGGCCAACATTACCGCGACCAACTTCTTTGGAGCCCGTCATGGTCTGGAGACCCTGGCGCAGTTGATTGTCTACGATGACATCCGCCGCGAGGTTCAGGTGACGGCCAATGCCACCATCACTGATGCTCCGGTGTACAAATGGCGTGGGTTGCTCCTAGACACCTCCCGTAACTACTACTCTGTGAAGTCCATCAAGAGGACGTTGGGTAAGGCATTGGTTCAGGAAAGAGGCAGGGGAGGGGTATATTTTCCATTGACTCTATGAGTATTCTATTTCCTCCTTAGAGGGCATGGCCATGGTCAAACTGAACACCTTCCACTGGCACATCACGGACTCGCACAGTTTTCCACTGGAGGTGAAGAAGCGACCAGAGCTGCACAAGCTGGGAGCCTATTCCCAACGACAGGTGTACTCCCGTCGGGACGTGGCCGAGGTTGTGGAGTACGGCCGTGTGCGAGGCATCCGTGTTATGCCAGAGTTCGATGCTCCTGCCCATGTGGGTGAGGGCTGGCAGCACAAGAACATGACCGCCTGCTTCAATGCTCAGCCATGGAAGTCTTTCTGCGTGGAGCCACCATGTGGCCAACTCGATCCTACTGTGAATGAAATGTATGATGTGCTGGAGGATATTTACGGCACCATGTTCGATCAGTTTAACCCGGATGTCTTCCACATGGGCGGCGATGAAGTGTCCACCAGCTGCTGGAACAGCAGCCAGCCCATCCAGAAGTGGATGAAGAAGCAGGGATGGGGCTTGGAGACTGCCGATTTTATGCGCTTGTGGGGACACTTCCAGACGGAGGCTCTTGGTCGCGTGGACAAGGTGGCTAATGGTACGCACACGCCCATCATTCTGTGGACTAGTGGACTCACCGAGGAACCCTTCATTGACGAGTATCTGAACCCAGAGCGTTACATCATTCAGATCTGGACCACTGGTGTAGATCCGAAGGTAAAGAAGATTCTGAAGCGCGGTTACAAGATTATTGTCTCCAACTACGATGCTCTGTACTTGGACTGCGGCGGAGCCGGCTGGGTTACCGATGGCAACAACTGGTGCTCTCCCTACATTGGCTGGCAGAAGGTGTACGACAACAGTTTGAAATCCATTGCCGGCGATTACGAGCATCATGTCTTGGGAGCGGAGGGAGCCATTTGGTCGGAGCAGATCGACGAGCACACCCTGGACAACCGCTTCTGGCCCAGGGCCAGTGCCTTGGCCGAACGTCTTTGGTCAAATCCTGCCGAGGGTTGGCGCCAGGCCGAGTCACGTCTGCTGCTACACCGCCAGCGACTGGTGGACAACGGTCTGGGTGCGGAGGCCATGCAGCCGCAGTGGTGCCTGCAAAACGAGCACGAGTGTCCAATTGACGCGTACGATGCACACGTTTGACCAGCTATTAAACCTTTCCTCTTAACGGTCGCTATCCTTATAGATGTAGTCGAGGCGGCGGGCGGCTGGGGTTAATCGTCCTGTTGCTACTCACACCGCTCTCTGCCTGAAAATAAAGCACAGCTCAAAAGTGGCCTTACGCAAGTGACTTGTCGTTTATTATGTTAAATATAAATGAGATTATTGGCCCTACTCTGCGCCCTATTCCGACTCAAAGTGCCAGAATCTGAAGGAATGAGGGAAATCCTTACAGCTTCGAAGATTCTTTCGAACCAGAACAGTAGCAGAGTTGTACAATTTATGCTTTAATGTGGGGTGAGGCTTTGCGAGTGTTGGTGTCCTTGGCCTCGAGCATAAACTCCTGGACTCCTGAATATGTACGTATGAGTCTAGATACTAAAAGCAGCGTTCCTGTGTGCAATATTTTAGATGGAAGCTCTACTCATTCCACTCTTCCTCATTCCGTCCAAACTTGTAGATCAAACTGGCGAACAGGATGAAAACATTCTGCATCAGCAGAGCCACACCAAACCAGCCGTCCTTCTTTTCTGAAAACGATTAGTGGGTGCAAATCAGCTTAGGAATCCATAAATCTTCGCTTATTCCTTACCATTGTTGATGAAGTCGTCGATCATCACCCAGATGGCGGCTATGATGGAGGCAAAGCCCATTAGGAAGCCCACAAGCAGCCAGATCTTCGCTATCCTGGCGCCGGACTCCGACGAGTTCTCCTCCGAAATCTGCGCACATAACAAAAGGAGTGAGTCACTTGTTCAATGCGCAATGATAAGTGGGTGCTGTCTCTTACATGTTCGCCCTTCACTGCGTTCACCATGCAGAAGCTGATAGTGCCGAAGATGCCGATAAAGACATGTCCTGTGGTAATCTGGTGCTTGCCGTCTATGGACATAGCGTCGATTAGAACCCACCATCCTGCAAAAAACTAAGGAGAAAAAGTTGCACTGTCAGGCGTGTGGCTCTTTGTCTGCGGTTGTTACTTTACCAGAAGACCGGCAACTATGGAGGTGTTCCTGTTCCTGGACGCCTCGCCTGTGAAGTAGTTCGCAACATTGTCCAACACGCTCATTGTTTAGGGTTTAAAACGTAATTCAATTTGTTCTACGCTTAAATCTTCTTGTTTGGACGCACAGGGTTGTCTGTCTGCAGGTGAATACAGGATTTCTTTACTGGCTGTCACATCACAGTTTTAGTATTTAGTGTGTTCACACTGGAACCGCAACAGCAACATTTACTTACTTTTTCTGTCGCACAAAGTAGTTATGTTACGTACAGAAACTTATTTTTAATTATATTTAGCAAGTTTTAAAAATATTCAACTGTTTTATTTAAAAAATTTGTATTAAATACTAAATAAATAAAATAAAATACTAATCAAAGAACAACCATCTGTTATCTGTTATGCAGCTGTGTGAATATCCCGTTTTTGTTTTTTTTAGTACGTTAAAGCCACGACAGAAAGTCCAATACGGTCACACACAACTTCACGTTTTACTAAATTTAATTGATTTCTTTATTATTTAACAACCGATCGCAGCGACACGAGTGGGGTGCGTGTGGTCAGTTATAGAAAGAGATTGAGAAGGAATCCTTACCAGAATGCTAGTCATCAACACATGCAGAGCTGCCTCCAGATTGGCGCTGCGAAGCCTCAGTTTGCGATCGCCGATCGCAACACGCACTTTCTCGACGGGATTGGCTCTGAAAACGAAAGATGTGTGAGTATCCCCCACCCCATGATCACTACATTGGTAGCTCCACACCGCCAGAGCAACGTAAACATTGACCAATCTTTGTTTGCAGCGTTAACATAACCTTCGTGCGTGCCAACGGGGACAAGATCAAGACGTCCGGAAAAGTGGGTGACTCCCTGCTGGACGTTGTGGTCAATAACAATGTGGATCTGGATGGCTTCGGAGCCTGCGAAGGCACCCTGACCTGCTCCACCTGTCACCTGATCTTCCAGACTAGCGATTTCGAGAAATTGCCAGACAAACCGGGTGATGAGGAGCTGGACATGCTGGATCTGGCCTACGAACTGACGGACACCTCGCGGCTGGGGTGCCAGATCACCCTGTCCAAGGACATGGAGGGCCTGGAGGTCCATGTGCCCTCCACCATCAATGACGCACGTGCCGCGTAGATAGACACCACCACTGTTATAAATTGTTACAAATTTGAGTGCTAATTCGCTTTAGTTCAACCTAGATGTAGTCAATCTTTTTGAATGAAATCGTATGTATTGTCCCAGGGACACAAACCTCAGGCGGCTATAATGGATACACGCATAAATCCGATTCCAGATGCGGATTAGCGTGCGCTGTTGTTTTTAAAGTGTGTAAGCTCAAAGGGATTAGATCAATATGTAAATATGTGTTTGCAATAAATTTACATGTATTTTCTTACTTTTTGTTGAGTGCATTGAACATATTGGAGATGTTTTCTGGCGCAGAGATCAATTTTCAATTAATATAAGTGCCTTTATCAATGATACAATTTATATTTTTAGTTATCACCTTAGTTCTGCGTGTATTCATGACTCCGCAATTGTGCTTGGCAAATAAACAGGCACAGGTCAAGATTTTCCTTGGTATCATTGTGATGATGCAGTTTTTAAAGGCGACTACAAAAGAGTGTAGCATACTTTTAAACACAGTTTCATTATAATCAACGAATTTGGGCTGGTAACCATTACCTGGCAAATTCCAGATCAATAGGCTTGTACTTAATCTTTCTATATAGCTACCGAGCATATGATAATGCAAAACATTTTATTCTTTTAAGACCATTCATTCGTTTTGCCAAAGTTGTTTTGTTTATAACAAAACTTCCAGTCACGACCAAAACAAAGGCTGTTATCAATGCCGCACACAAACATTTCATCACACTGATAAAGTTTGCATTACGAGTAGTTTTTCTTATCAGTGGTTCCCATGTCAGGTAATAAGTACTATTAGATGCCATTATAACACTTGGCGCTTAATAAAAGTAAACTTTTTATTATTTCGCAGCTATCAAATAAAGTAATAAATAAATAATTTAATATATACATTTGCTATATTAACTTATTGTAAACGATTTTCTGCTTTTCCATATTTGCCGCTTCTTTACTTCGTTTGTTTTTATTTTCTCGATATTAACTTGCATATTGTAACATTCGAGGCTTATCTGTCCGATCAGATGGCCTCAAATCCCTCGTAGGTATAACTGAAACTTAACAAGTCTGACAATTCAATTTCGCTTTGCCTAAAACTAGGGAAACATATGAAGGATAGAGCGTAGTGGTAAAGTAGGAAACCATTTCAAAGTGGCGGATTTGGGATCTCAATAAATAACCGAAGAATAAATAGTTATAGGATAGGGTGCCTATGAAGGATGGGTTTGGAATGAGTGTTTCTGAAGTGCACATAAAACTGATTTGGTTTTCTGTTCACGCCGATCGGTCGCTGATGATGGTGATGGTGATCCTCTGGCCCGATTACAGATCCTTAGTTCACATAGGCCATGCCCGCTCCCTTGCGATCGAAGTGGCGCACGCGGACGAAGAGAAAGGCGGCGACTAGAGAGGCGACTGCCAGTACGAGCAGCAGCATCACCAATCCTCCCACAAAGCTGGGCACTGACATGCAGATGGTCTCCGCATCCGCAGACCTGGCCGACTGGATGACCACCGTCTCGTTACTGGCATTGCTGTTCAGCGCAAAGTTCACGTCTCCGGGCGCCACCACCTGAATGATCCGGCTGGTGTTCACATCGGTCATCTCCTGCGCATTCCGCTTGTAGATCCTCTGTGGCTTCACCACAATGTCCATGGTGTCTCTGCGCCGGCGCACGCCGCGCAGATCGTCCAGTCCCTCCACGGAGCGGGGTCGTCCTCCCAGGGAAACCAGGTTGCCACCGGCACTCAGGTCATCCTTGCGCTTCACCGTGCTGTACTGACCGCTCTGTCCTGGCAATGGTGGTGGCGGCAGACCGAGTTCGTTGCTGCCAGTGGGCTGAGGCTGTGGCGACTGGGAGCTGGCTGGTCCGGAAACGGTTCCCGAGTCGGCAGTGGGCACTGCCGCCGAGGTCTGAGCCTGAGGCGAGGGCACCACATCCGGTTGGTTCTCAGAGTAGGCTCCAGTGGCATCGGAGGCAGGGTGACGCGGATCTGGATAGGCAGCTGGTGGCAGAACTCCGGGGCCGCCCAAGGCGAAGTCGTTCCTCTCATAGGCCTCTGGCGGACCATACTCCTCGGACAGACCGTTCGCGCCAATCTGGGGCAGGCCGTACTCGCCACCTGGCAATCCGGGTCCGCACTTGGGCTCGGGGCAGTTGTAGCGGCATACCTGGATGACGCACTGGAAGTGCACATTCATCGAGTCGGGGAACTTGAAGGCCTGGAAGTAGGCGAAGCTAACCACCGATGCGGACGGCCCGAAGTTCTTGATCTTCTGGAACTTGCTCATGATCTTCGGCCTGACAACGCAGCCGTTCTGGTCCACCAGCTGGATGGGAGCCCGCTTACCGTCGTGGGCCACACAGTTGCGCACCAGCATATCGAATTTGTTTTCATCATCCTTAATGGCCAGCACCATGGTCATCGTTTGTCCGATCTTGACAATGCCCGAAACCTCGGAGGCCCAGGGTCCCTTGCCCACCTGGATTTGCATCCAGCACTGCAGGTTGTCGCCCAGGAAGTTAGCGGTCACCGCATGCAGCATGTCCACCTGGAAGGGCCTGAAGGTAACGGCCTTCTCGTAGAAATCGTACCAGGTGCAGCGCAGCTTCCTAGCCTGATCCCACACCTCCTGCACATAGGGATCGTACTGGATGATGATTGTGTTCTCCACATAGCTGCCCGATGGCGTGGGCGCTCCGTAGCCGGCGGCATTGTGATTGGCCGAGCTGGTCATGCCGCAGCTGTTCAGGAAGATCTCGAAGGTGGCGCTCAGGTGGCCGGTGCCGGGCTTCAGGTGCACGCAGTGGGGATCACTGTAGAATCCCTTGGAGAAGATCATGCCGTAGAAGGGCCGGTCGAACTCGATGTTCACCCGCATGTGGGTCTTCTCGCACTGCACCTGCAGGTGTTTGATCTGCGGACTGTCGTTGGTGCTGGCGAGGGGCCATGCCTCCTCGGACACATCGTTGGTGGCTCCGGTGCTCAGTGGTCCCTGGGGCGCTCCGTAAATGGGCGCCGGTGGACCGTAGCCGGCCCTGTGTTCGAGGGGCAAGGCGGCGGACTCAATGTGCGATGCATCGCCATGCACCGAGAGGTGCTGTGGAAAGAAAAAAAGGAAAAAAAAAGAAAATGCATTAGAAAAGGAAACGAATCCAGTTCATTTTGTACAAAATTCTTACAATTCGTTATTCAGATAGATAGAAATAGGAAAGTCTCTCGATAGACAGAAAATCCAGCAACGGAGCGTATGAGCAACATGCCTTGATGTCATAACTAAAGTAAATCATACGCAGCGTTGCACATTTAAAATTCATATGTGCCAACTCGAAAGTTTTCCTCTTATTTTTCAAAACGATTCCAAAACACTTCGCCCCATATAAGCGTTTCGATTACAGGCTGGGTTATGGCTCAGATCACAGGATTGCGGAAAGCACTCGTTTCGGGTGTGCCTGGGCTATCTTTTCCGCGATATAATTGGATTTGGGTTATGCAATAGCAATCTCTGCCAGACACCGAAATCACTCTCGACGACATTTGGCAAGAAGCGATGCGAAGCGTTGAAAATTGCACGACAGCTGGAGTATTTCAAAACGAAATGGTTGACAGAGCGGCACGCTTACCAAATTTTAGAAATACAAAACTAAAAGCTTCAAATGCAGTTTAACCCATTGCGTAAGACAACGAAGAAAGAGCCACGCCCCTTCCTCCGTAGGGCTTTGTCACTTTCTTTCTTTAGGTTTGGCTGGGGCTTCGCATCTGGCTCGTAATTTCATGGGTTTCTGGCTGCGCACGGGAAGCGGATGTATCTCAAAGTCCGGCGGGGGCCCCACGAAAACCGAAAGTTAAATCCAGCACGATGACGGTGTGGATTTTGCTGTGGGTTGCTGCTGTTGTGTTTGTTTATTTATTATTATATTACTGCTTTTTTACTTTCGGTGGCTGGTGACCACGCGCTGAGAGATGTCGTGAGATGATTTTGAAAGTGAAATGACCAAAGGAAAACGAGCTGGCCATCAAAAGAAGCAACGTACCTAATGGAAAAATAGAGAAACAAAAACACAACGTCTCGACTATTTTCTTTTTTGGACATTCCACGCACTTGGCGATGGAGATATCAATATAAACACATCTATCGATCGATGGGATCGGACCGCATAGGATCGCCTCGATGGCATTGGTAATTTTTCTTCTCTCTTTTTTCGACGTTCGACGCTTTGGAGAAAGAAAACTGACAATAAATAAATAATAAAGCAATCTCTGTGAATTAATGCGCCATAAACAAGAAAGTCAAAACTGGTACAAATCAGAGCATAACTGCAATTTCTTCGCCGCCTCAGCACCCAGACACGCAGTTGGTTACTTGGATACTTGGATACTTGGACACTCGGTTGGCCATCCAACTGGCCAACAGTTGCTTTGGCCAGTTTGCGTTTGCGTTTGCGTTTGAGTTTTCCTTGACGTGATTGCATCGGCTAAACTGCGCTGATTGTGTGAGTGTGTTTCTGTTTTCCATCGGCCTCCAGTGATTGATGCGCTTTAAATAGCCCACTGAAGGCTGCCTCTTTTCGAGGGGGAAGAAAAGAGTTTTCCTTGGACATGCTTATCAATCGAAAGCGTGCGGCAGCCCCAAAGAAATCCGCCAAATTTATGGCTTTTCTAATATTGATTGACAGTCCATCGCGCTGATGCATATTAGAGGTATTTAAAATTTTTAAACTTAATGCTTCGTTAGCTATGTAAGCAGTCATGTTGCTGTCATATTCATTTATTTAACTAACCGTAAATGACTAATATTTTTTATATCCACAAGATACATTGTAAGATTGAAAACTCTCCTTTAAGACAATGTTAACTCACCCACTGTGAAACAAATTCCAGTAATAATATATGTACGTTCCCGCTTCGCCCCTCAGCCATTAGTTTCTACTGTGAGGTTTTCTCTCTCTCAGCTAGTTTTCCATCTCTAATTGCAATGATTAGCAAAGTGCCGTTTAGTTGCTACATTTTCCGCCATTCCTCACCAGCAGCTCTCTCGATTCGATATTGATATTGATCTGCCAGCAATCCGCTATGTGCATAGTCTTCTGACTTCCCAGCTTCCCAACTTCCCAACTTCCCAACGTCCAACTTAAGATCCCAGTCAACTCAATCCGTCAATAGGCACTCGCAGTGATTTGCATTCGAATCG